ACAAGATTGTCAGCTTTATGTACTACATTTTTTTTAATTTTTTGTAAACACACTAAATTTGTGGTTGTAATAACACTGGAAAGACAAACTTGCTGTTAGAACATTTGGCTTTAAAATTGATATTGAATATTAGGACCAGTTGGGAAGTAATTTAACACCTTTGTATGAGCAAATTGGGGTAATATTTTGAGTTAAGGGTAGGATCACCAAAAAGATCTTGGAATTGATACTAAATGGAAGTACTAATGATTAGGATTTCACCACTTTTTTTGAGAGCAACATAATGCATAAAGAGGAAGGTATGGTTACATAAGAATTAATGTATCAATGAATATCAGCTGTGTATATATATATATATATATATATTGGGAATGTTCGATAACTAGCACTACAATTATAAACAGCCTCATTCAGAATAGGTTTACAAGATATTGTATCCAGATAAAACACCAGGTTTTGGTATGGATTTTACACAAACAGAAAACTTCATCATTTTATAGTGGACCACACAATGGAGCTAATAACACCCTTCACTGTATAGAATGCAGCAAAAAGTGTTGATTCAATTATATATTTCTTGAACTTATTACCGGACATGATTTCTTTGGTTTCTGTGCCATCTTTTACAGTTTGTTTTCCTATATTAAACAATAATTGCACCGTTGGGTAAGGTAATAGACCAAGTTTCCTTTAGTATTGGAATGCCGAAGATAATTGTGAGACTTGCTTTATCAACAGAATTAAAGGATTGACTTTCAGAGAAGCATATATTATGAAAACATCTCTAACATCATATACATTTTTGCATTCTTTCTTTGTCGTGATCACTTCCATCATCACAGTCTTCAGTTAGGGTCAAAATATCATTACCAATAGCATCCATATCATCATTGATATTCACAATATTCTTATTGTAGTTTTGTTGTGGTTGTTTTCTTCTACTGTTACTAATTGCCAGTACACTTTTTTCGCTGCTTTCTCCCACGTTTTATGTCTCACTTTAGCAGAAATAGATAATCCACCACATTCATAACCACAATGACAGCATTCTGAGCATTATAACATCCACGCTTTTTACAAAATTGCAAGATAAAGGTTCCATTTTGAATTAAAACTGCAATTTTTTTTTCTACAGTTTGCTGGAGCAGTCTTTAGTAACTGAAGCTGAAAATAAGCTAAATTAAAGTTTTTTTTGTTTGTTTGGCCAATGGTATTACACAAAAAAAGAGAACTGAAAAACTATTTCCATGATGGATAATTTTTTCTGACGAACATGAGCTTATCCAGTTTGCAGACTTGGATGGTGTTAAAATGGAAATTACAATTTTCAAGCATTGATCTAATGAAATATTACTGTATAGTTAAAAATACTGATATGTAGATGTCAAATCATATTTACATATCATGAAATAATAGTAATATTTGATTTTCCATGTGATGTATTTGAGACTGAGAAGTTCATATTTCCATATTAAATTTACATTTAAGAACATACTGTTTTGTACGAGTTAATGAGATGCAAGTCATTTTTTACCTTTTCAACTTAATGTAGTCTTTGGAGATTTCAGTTTTGCCCTTTGGAGGTTATCACTGTAACATTCCTTCAGTAGTAGGAAAGATCATAACTTGAGACTACAGCCTCCCCTATGTTGAATTACAGTAAACATTCGTTTGGATAGTGCTAGTTGCTAAAGGTAAAGTCAACGTTTCCCATTAAGTAAGAAACATTTAATTTAGACAACTACATGGGATCTCAAGTGGGTTAGTTTATGAAGAGACATCTGGAGGGAAGAAAGTCAGTTTATTCACGAGCTAAGTGAAAGGTGACTGTCTGTGTGTCCAGTGCAAGTACACACACACACACACACTGTATTTTTCACTTAAGTTTTGAAGTGTGTTATTCATTGGTTCAGTCTTTATTTTACTAGATTTTGACCTATTATTATTATTATTACTTGACATTTACATATTATCTGATGCCTTTGGCAGCTTTCCTTAGAACTGGATTCTCCTCACACTGTACTAAGCTGTGGAGAAGACGCTTTAGTTTATGAGATCGATCTCAGAAAAGAAAAACCTCACAAGTAAGTTTTTATAACCAGAATCCATTACTGGTATTCCGTTTTACATTCATGAAACTTTATTTATTCATCAAATATATTTTTAATAATATAATAATTTAAATCACAAAAACAGAATGTGGGATCCACTTGTCCAAAGAGAGGAGTGGCATGGATGAACCATTAATTTTCACTAGATCCATAAAGGACTCGCAAATGTTTTTGGCATGATGACTTTTGAGCAACGGTGTGCAATAAGTGTATCAAAATACACTATCATGTTAAATTGAAAACTGTTGAACAAAACTGTTATTATTGGTATATATGGTGCAACAAAACTGTTATTATTGGTATATATGGTACAACAAAACTGTTATTATTGGTATATATATATATGGTACAACAAAACTGTTATTATTGGTATATATGGTACAACAAAACTGTTATTATTGGTATATATGGTACAACAAAACTGTTATTATTGGTATATATGGTACAACAAAACTGCTATTATTGGTATATATAGTACAACAAAACTTATTATTGGTATATATGGTACAACAAAACTTATTATTGGTATATATGGTACAACAAAACTGTTATTATTGGTATATATGGTACAACAAAACTGTTATTATTGGTATATATGGTACAACAAAACTGTTATTATTGGTATATATATATGGTACAACAAAACTTATTATGGGTATATATGGTACAACAAAACTGTTATTATTGGTATATATATGGTACAACAAAACTGTTATTATTGGTATAAATGGTACAATAGAGTTTCTATTATTGGTATAAATGGTACAACAAAACTGAGGTTGCTTGTATAAGTGGTAAACAACTTCTGAGTCATTCTTTCACTAAAACAACCCACAAGTTGAGACACCATGTCATTACTGAACATCCTCTGTTTGAAAGGCACCGTTAATTAACTGCATCTGTTGTAGGAAGTTTATGGATAACATTTTGAGCCGGTAACACAGATCTTAATAAGAGAAAGTACTACAGTAGCCATCAGATAAAACTTAAAGATGTGTATTCTAAAATTATCTGCACTTTGATCCATGCATAGTTATTTAAATAATTTCCTAAAATGAAGTATTTATGCAAAGTATGACAGAAGACTGAATTGAGAATAATCCTAGCTAGTATTTGATTTGATTAATCGTGGATATAAGGCCATTGTGGTATCGGGTGTATGACCTTACCTGTTCTTAAAATGTTTGTAACCATGGTGATCTTTCAGAATATAACATAATTCATTAAGACTTATTTTTTCTTTTTATGTATATATCAATTTAGAGTATTATTCCATGTTTTTTTTTAGGTTGCTTATTTGTAAGGAGAATGACAGGAAGATTGCCTTATATTCTATCTGTACTAGCCCCTGTAATAATTTTGAGTTTGCTCTAGGGGGCAAGGATCAATATGTCAGGTATGCAAATATTTTATTTGGGTGCTTTTACCAATATTTTTCTGATTTTTAACATGCAAAAACATAAATTTACTCAATATTATACAGTGTAGTGAATAGTTTAAAACCAAACTAATAATTTGAGTGTTAAAGGTTTTAACTCCTACATGATGACATGAGAATAGTTTGGAAAAGATAAGATGGATTTATTATTTTTCTTTTGCTGAAGAAATAATGAAAATATTGCTGGTAATATACAGATATGTTTTAGTTCATATTTTTTATAATAGGTCGTGTATTGTAAAAAATGAAAAATCACTAAGCACAGGAAGTGTTAATATGTTCTTTGATTTTTTCTGTTGTTGTTATGCATATTATTTAGCCATTAGAATGTCTTTAGAAATTGTTTGCCTGAGAGGTTAGATAGGAATATCAATTTATTACATTTCATAAATTATTGTAACTAAAAATAATAAAAGCACTATTCTGTAAGGTCCATTCACTTTATATAATGATCATTTAAGACACTGAAAATAAAAATATTAATTTACTCAGATCATTAAACTTTTCTTTCTTTGATGCGGCTTGTTCGTTGGCTATGTGCTTGTTTGAGGTGATTAAATGACATTGTGATTATTATTTTAAATACTTGTAGAATTTACGACAAAAGAAAAATTTCGGAAGAAAGTGAACCTGTTACAAAGTTGTGTCCTCAGTACCTGGTGAGTCCACTCACTAAATTATTTTTTTTTTGTGTGTCTTTGTAAATCCACTTCTGCTTTTTTTTATGTAGGAAAACAAGAACTTTATATTTATTTTATGCAGATTTTTGGAAATTAATATGGAGTTCCAAATGTTTATGCCAAGGAATTATTAGTTTTAATCTGTTTACTGCCAATTAGGATATTGTTCATTCTGTTTACTGCCAAATAGGATATTGTTAATTCTGCTTACTGCCAATTAGGATATCGTTAATTCTACTTACTGCCAATTAAGGATATCGTTAATTCTGCTTACTGCCAATTAGGATATCGTTAATTCTGCTCAGTGCCATTTAGGATATCATTAATTCTGTTTACTGCCAAATAGGATAGTGTTGATTCTGTTTACTGCCAAATAGGATATTGTTAATTCTGTTTACTGCCAAATAGGATATTGTTAATTCTGTTTACTGCCAAATAGGATATTGTTGATTCTGTTTACTGCCAAATAGGATATTGTTGATTCTGTTTACTGCCAAATAGGATAGTGTTGATTCTGTTTACTGCCAAATAGGATAGTGTTGATTCTGTTTAGTGCCAAATAGGATATTGTTGATTCTGCTTACTGCCAAATAGGATATTGTTGATTATGTTTACTGCCAAATAGGATATTGTTGATTCTGTTTACTGCCAAATAGGATATTGTTGATTTTGCCAACTGCTGAAGATGACATGTAACACTTACATACTTGATTCACAGTGAATTCCTTATCATTGGGCAGTGCAATACCGCTGTGGATACCTTATGACTGGTGGTTTTTAAAATGCCTTTTTAAAGTCAAATATTCATACAGTGAGATTGTCAACTGATCAAGAGTTAAATAAAGCATTGTTACGAGAAAGAAGACCGTATTTCCCATGTATGTGAAAAAACTCAAACAACTGGATGTTCAGAATGGAAGGCGGAGGCTTCAAAACCACATACCAAGCTGACCTGGGGCAGTGCACTCATCACGACCTTAGACTTAGAGGCATTGCAATGAAACTGGGTATATATTTTGATACCATTAATAATACAATAAATAAGGAAAGCCATCCCGCCAGACATGCTCGGGCCTTTCAGCCACAAGGGCGTTATAATGTGATGGTCGGTGTTTCACAGCTTCTGCACTCTTGTATAATAAAATTCAACCATCTATGAATACTTCAATACTTAGCTTTGTATTAGTGCTGAGCATTTAATTTGTTCTTTTGTACTAATGAAGTAAGGTTTAATAAGTTTGTCTGTTTTCTCTCTTTATGGCTCCAAACTGATTTTGGTGAGTTATAGAAGCCATCAGGAGGATGAAAAAAAAATGCTAGTTATTGTTTGTCAGAGGGATAATAAAACTGGTGAATATTAAATACTGAGAGCTGAACTTTGTTATCTTTCTAGGTTGCAGTGTTTATTAGTCACAAACATACACAAGCACACAGATTTTTGTAGTGTCAATTTTTTTTCACTGAAGTTTGAGGTATAATTATTTTTGAAGCTGTTTTGTCAGTTAAGTTTGTTGAATCCAATGTAGGTCAGTGGAGACGTACGAGTCCATGTCACCTCTGTAGTCTACAACTACAATGGATCAGGTTAGTGATTTACCTTCAACTCAACCTGTCAAAATTCTGTTTGAAAACAAATCATGTTTCGGTGAACAAGAATTTAAACGATTATAATTCATGGAGAGATATTATACTTATATATACACAGAGGTTTGGCTGTATTTACCAAATAGTGCATTTTTTGAAGCGTAAGATTTTAATTTTGTATTTTCAGGAACAAATATTTTACTGATGTTAGCACACCCTTAAAAGCATGCTGACCCCCCCCCCCATCTTGTTGAATTCAGGGTGTATGGAAATGACAAGTTTTACAGTAAAATTTGCCCTTTGGGCAAGTAATGTTTGTTTTTCACATCGTTCATTCTATTGCTAGTACGCTCCAGGTGTAAGAAGAATAAAAATAATGTACAAAAAGCTTTAAACTGTTGTGCATATATAATTTGGTTTATTGCGATGTTAACAGGAACACAATCAATGTTTAGCATCTAAGCTCCTCGTGTATATATTCATGTATTTTATAGTTTTTAACATTTGGGACTTTTACAGTGCATCATGTAGAAAACCCTATGTACAAACCTTGTGGTTTATATTAACAGGAACACAATCAATGTTTAGCATCTAAGCTCCTCGTGTATATATTCATGTATTTTATAGTTTTTAACATTTGGGACTTTTACAGTGCATCATGTAGAAAACCCTATGTACAAACCTTGTGGTTTATATTGTAGTAGAAGCAAATTCCTAAGTTATATTCTGATTCTTTTTTGTATGTGTTTTTTTTTAAGAAGGATGGCTAGATTTTTAATTTTCCTGATATTTTGTCCCTCAAACAAGAAGTTTCATCTGAAATTCCAAACCCTCTGTAAATGATAGGCATCAGTTTATCAATAAGACAAGTTAGTATCTAACTTAGTGGGTATATTTTCCTGATATTTTGTCCCTCAAACAAGAAGTTTCATCTGAAATTCCAAACCCTCTGTAAATGATAGGCATCAGTTTATCAATAAGACAAGTTAGTATCTAACTTAGTGGGTATATTATCCTGATTTTGTTGAAATAGTTCCTTGATTATGTTCACTAATATAGCTTCTGTCATTTCAGAGATCCTGGCATCGTACAATGATGATGATATATTTTTATTTGACTTAAGAAGACACAATAATAGGGACTATATCCACAGATATCAAGGTCATAGAAACAACCAGACTGGTATGATTCATCTTTTAACTTTCAAAACAACCATATTGTACAAAAAAAAACTTTAATTTCAGCTGCTGGTTTATTTGATAACAAGTTCTTGTAAAGTTCTTGTTCTTACGAAATGCAACATCTAATTAGATAGGAAAAAGTAACTAATTTGTGAATAATTGTATTTATTTAAAGTCTTAAACACTGGTCTATTTACAGTCTGTATGTTATAATTATGTATTAGTATGTTGTTGCCCAGAGATGAAGATTACAGTGAATTCTAACATTTATTTTTTTATTATTAGAAATATGAATTACATAGTCATCACTATAAACTCATAACTAACTGTGGGATATTATCGTAAAATACCTGTTGATACAGACATATATTTTCAAGACAGATTTTTAGTTATAAATTGTTGCATTTCATCTCTGTGTGGTTTATGGTGTGATAAGTTTTAGTGATGCAAATATTTTTTGGTAGCTTGTTAGTTTAGAAACGGGTATAGATCTTTTTGAAGTGTGAAAATCCGGTAGTCATTTATTTACACTTAAACTGGTATAGATCTGTTTGAGGTGTGAATATCTGGTAGTCATTTATTTACACTTAAACTGGTATAGATCTGTTTGAGGTGTGAATATCTGGTAGTCATTTATTTACACTTAAACTGGTATAGATCTGTTTGAGGTGTGAATATCTGGTAGTAATTTATTTACACTTAAACTGGTATAGATCTTTTGAGGTGTGAATATCTGGTAGTAATTTATTTACACCTAAATTGGTATAGATCTTTTTGAGTTGTGAATATCTGGTAGTCATTTACTT